AAAGGCCTGACTGGTGGTAAGCCTGGCTGGCACCAGGTCGATAAGTCGTCCACCTCTGGAGAGAGTCAAAGGTTGGCGTGGGTACACGAGGGTACACGTACCCCGTGTACGGTAGTTACGGCAGACACGACATCGGCAATGCGGCACCCGTTACGTCGTTCGGCCATCGCACCTGGCACCAGTGGAAAACAGAGCAGGCCGACCGGCATCTAATACATGATGTTGAACGTCACCAAGTTATTTGTCACGCCAGTCATCTTAGCAACATCGATGATCGTGATACCGAATACATTACACATCGCGAGTAAAGAAGCAATAGAATTAGATGGATACTTGGGAGATAATCTTTCGTCACAGTTGTTGCAGATCGATCGAATTCAATATGTTGAATCGATTCTTCCTTGAAGGATTATTATCAGAAATTTTTCATTTTGCGATAGAAAATTCTTGTTTGAGAAGATTATTTGTACAAAGAAATGAAACCTGAAAGAATATTATTTAGATCAGTTTAGAAAGAAACCGAACGTGTGAATAATTTAATTTAGAAATATGAGCTGCAAGAAGGATGAAGATTGAACAAAATGAGAGACACGTCTCGTTAATTTTACTATGTCGTTCGGTCAAATTATGCGAACTTTTTCCACGTTTCATTTGAGAAAAGAGAAAAGCCACTCTTAGAACTTTCCTCCCTCTTCTTTTTTATCTCAATCCGTCTTCTTTTCTCCATCCCTCCCTACGAAGTCAGGTACTCGAAGTGTGGAGTATCGATTATATGGACCCTGCTTCGTGACCACGCGCCGTCTGTACGTTGTGCTGCCCGGATAACCCACTGACACTGACAATTTTCGTGCAACACAGACATTTTTTTTCATCGATTATTTTTTTCTTTTTTTCTTCTTCGACCTATCATCAATACCCGCGCTTCTTGCAACGTGTTCTCTGATAACACGTATTTACCCTTCGTTACGTTCTCGAGAGTATATATATATATATCCATTCACCATTTTTATAAAATCATTTTTCAAAAGTATTAATAACGCTATTTCAAAACAAATTGATTTCGATGAAAATTTTCGGGTATGCAGAGAAATTTATTTTTCGACGGGAAAAATCCTCTCGAGCTTCGTGAAATCAAATTTTTACCATTTTTTTCTTTCTTCTTTTTTCCTTTTTTCGTGGATGTTTTCATCGTGCAATCGCATTAATACAATTTAAATTGAAAATTTCGTGGTATTAAAAGTATTGAATATATCGTTATTTAATCTATCTTGTAGCGTTACGAAATTATATTTATATAAGACGAATTTTAAGGGTTGATTTTACTCCTTCGAAATAACATTCCAGGATTAAAAGGAAATTCTCGTATAAAATTATTGTTGGTTTTGATAACTTAATTGAATTCGCATAAAGTGTATGAAAATTTCAGCGACTGTAAATCTTATATTACTCACTATTGAAGAGGAAATTCGTCTTTTCAATTTCATATTTGCGTTCGTTGAAGTATGAAAAAAAAAAAAGAAAAAAAATAGCGTAGTTTATACAAATCGATTGAAATAGCAATATATTTAAAAAAAAAAATGTCGGATTGAACTTTTCATCATGAACAATTAGAGATAATTGAATTGAATTTTTTTCTCTTCGAGAGTGAAAAATTATCAGAAAAAGCTGATATCGTCTAACTGCGATCCGCTCTTCTACAAAGTATTGCACACACACATTGCTACGTTGCTACTGGATTCGTGGACGAAAAAAATAGGCCGGCATTTGCTTTTTACGTACATCACGTTTAAAGAAGCTCGTTCTTCCAACAAAACAAAAGATTCCACCTGACTTGTCTGAATCATCCTTCTCTCAACATCTCAGAACAATGTCCAACGTTATGGATTTTTCAATCATGGCGGGTGAAAGTATGAAATGAGACACGCAAAGTCTAAAAATTTTTTAAAAATTAAATCAATAATCGATAATGAGATGAATACGCACGTTTTATCGTTATAAATGATATAAAGATCCAAGGCTATTGACTCTCTCTCTCTCTC